TCCTTGGATGGGCTTTCTGCCCCGAGACGGTTCCTCTGTCCTCACAGGCCCTCCCAGACATGGCCTGTCCCTGTCCCATCTGGTAAGCGGAAGGCCTGGCTCAGGGCTCTGCCCCGTGCTGTCTGTTCCAGGCTGGCCTTCCTCTACCAGTGGCAGTGGACGACTTGGCAGGGGGTGAGGTGGGCCTGGCTCTTATTGTTCCCAGCCTTTTCTCCTTTTCATATCTGCTGAGTCCCAGAACAGTCCCAGGATGGGCCACCAAATTCATTTCCTTAGGGCAAGTGCCAAGGTCATCTGCAGCCACAGCCAGCCCAGTCTGTCACCTGACCAACCAGAGCAGCCCTAGCCAGGAGTAGTGGGATTGGTCAGTGAGGGAGTTTAGGTCCCCACTGGCCTGACGTGGGGATAGGGGCCGTCAGCAATGTGGTTGGAGCAAGGAAGAGGCTTCAGGGACTAGGGGCTGAGTGGGTAGATGCTAGAGAAAAGGGGCCTCTCCCCACCGTCTCCTACGGTCAGCGTCTTTCTGCAGGGCTGTTTCTTATTTTCTGTTGTTGTGCTGGTATTGGTGGTGGTAGGTCCTTCGGGGTGTTTGCTTTTCATCTGTTGCTGCTTTAGCAGACATTGTTCTTTGTCCCTCCCCGGAAACATTTCTAGTGCAAAGTCTTAACAGGGTCCATAAAGCCATTATCATGCTACTTTGAAAAAATAAGTTGGACTGTCAGCTAATAGTTAAGAGATAGCTAGTCCACCTATCTGACTTGGTTACTCAGTAACTAGTGCTGGGTAAGGGGAGGTGGGACTCTAAGAAGTGCCACTTCTTGCTAACAAAGACTTCGAGGGCCATGGGGCAGGCAGCCCCACCTGGGACAGTCTGTGGGCCTCGCTAGGCACGTTCCTGGGTCCCTGGCCTGCCTGCCCGGCCTGACCCAGACTAAGCTGCCATGCGCCCCTCACAGCCACCCTGGGGCTGGTGAGACAGAGCCCAACCGTGTGTGTTCTTCCCCCTGCACAATTTCTGGGGCCTCTTGATTCTGTAAGAAGCGCTCATGAGAAAAGAAGTGAAACCCACGGGTTCTCCATGACGTCAAGTCTCTTTCCTGTGAGTTACTGTTAGCTTGTCAGCCTTGGCCTCAGCCCAGCCCTTAACCTGACCGATGTCTCCAGTCCCCCTCTGAACAATGGCACCTTAGGCTTTTTCTCAGAAGAGCTGCCAAAGTGGAATGGAAAGAGGGCTGGACCAAGGGGAGGCCTGGCTCCATGTCCGCTCTGCCCAGCTAGCCGCGCAGTCAGGGTTCATCTGCCGTCATGCTGGAGCCCAGGCCGCAGCCCAGAGGAAGCCCGTGCCAGGCCAGTGTCACACAGCACGTGTGAGGACCTCCTCCCCCCAACCCAGCCCCTGCTCCAGGAGTCATGACTCTCCTGCTATCTTGGGTCTCTACTGGGGTTGAAGTCAGAGCTGGGAGAAAGATCAGGCCAGGCCCCTGGGTAGGGCTGGAATCTCGCAGGTCTGCATGTCTGGGACCTCTGCTGAGCCTCCCAGTTTACTCCCAAGGGAGCGTTTGGGCAGGCCCACAGGCCAGGCGAGGGCTCTGGTAGCTTTGGGGTGTCTTTGTGTTTCAAGCCCAGGTCTGCATACTGCGAAGAAGGAGGAGGGGCCCATGCTGGCCTCCAAGTCCCTACCTTAGAGACAGTCCGGGGCCTGGAACCCCCGCCATCCGGAGGAGTTTGGTGCCAACCCCCACGCTGTTCACCTCCCATAGCAGAGCTGTATGGGCTGCCTCAGCCCCCTCTGGCTTCCCTTCCTCAGAGTCTAAAGTAACAGTAGCTGTCATTTTTAAGCGCCCATAGGGGGTCGGGAACATATAAGAGCTGTCCTGTGCATCAGTTCACTAACGTGTCAATAGCCCAGTGAGAAAGGTGATAAACCCTCTACTTTTCAGATGTCAAACAGATTTAAGGAATGAAATCAGGTTCCACCTGATTCCTAAGTCCTTGCTCTTTTCCCTTACAGACACCAGCTCCCTGAAATGCACCACAGAGCGCCCCCCAGTAGCCATGTGCCTGGGGAGTGGCTGGCAGGATGGATAAGGCAGAGGGAACTGGTCCTGCCTTATGCTGGGGGCTTCCCAAACTAATCAGCAGGGTCTTCACCTGGCTTAGCCTGGGTTGCGTCTAGAACTCTCTGACCTAGCAAATCCCACCCCTTTTCATTGACTTCCCGTCACCCTCAAGGGACAGTCTAAACTCCACAGCTTGGCACCCGAGGCACTCCGTGACCTGCCCCTCCCTCCTTCCCAGCTACCTCTCCTTGCATGCTTGGCTCTGTCCCACCTTCCAGATATCCTGAGCTACACAGAGTTCTCCAAACAGGCAGTGTTATTCACGCCTCCACGCTTTCGTGCGCAGACTTCCCGCTCCCTGGCACCGGCTCCTGCCCCAGCCCCAGCAGGCCTGGCTACTTCCTGCTTCTTTGTGAAGATTCTGCTGAAGCCTCAGCCCCAGAATCCTTTCCTGACACTGCTCCCATCCCAGCTGGTCTCCGTGTCCCTGCGTCCATGTCGTGCAGGGCTGCCCTTGTTAATAGCTCTGTCGCGGCCGTGCTGATCTGTGAGCCCCCGGAGATCTCTCTTACAGTTTCTCTGGCCTATTGCTGGGTCCCTAGCACCGTGCCTGGCGTGTATAGGATGTGGGCGGGAGGGCAGTCTTGTTCTGCCAGAGGAGCACGGTGTCAGATGTGGGCACGTGTCTGCTGCTCTCACAGCTTCTCCCACCTGAGTTCTGGAAGAAGAGGACACCAGGTGAAGGAGAAGAAGGGAGAACAGCTGGGCTGGCGGAAGTCAAGGGAGGGCGATCTGAGCTGTCTCCTGGGTGGGCAGGTGCTGGCACTTGGGGTTTAGCAGTGTGGTGGGAGGAGGGAGGTGGGGCAGCCAGGCTGTGTCTTTTGACCCTTCCTTGGCTCCAGCCAGCTCCTGAGAGGGCTTGGTGTGGCTGAGTTGCATCTTGGACCTCACTGCCAGGCTCATCAAGGGTGATCGGTCAGCTCCAGGGCCTTGGGAGTCTTTGAGACCCAGAGATCTGATTTGTCACCAGGATCAGTGGCTGCATCCATGCGGCAGCCAAGATAGGCTCAGCTGAGTCCTGGGGGTCTTGAAGGTGATGCAACAGAGACCTAGGGACCAGGCTGAGAGTAGCATCGTGTTCACCTGCTTCTGAGGATGTGGTTGGTGCTGTCATCCACATGTGACTGATGAGGAAGCCAGAAGCAAAAATGGTTTAGGAACTTGCATTTGGTCACACAGTAAATTAGAGGCATCCCTCAAAGCTTTCAGCTTTTTTCCAGACCAGGCAGCTCCCCAGGCAGGGCTCCGGGTGAATGTTACCTGCAGGGCTGTGGTTTTCTCCCGTCCATTGCTCTTTGAAGACGTCCCTCTCCAAATTCTCTCAGAGAACCTCCCCAGATTCTAGAAGTCCCTAAACAGGGACTCATGAGCCATTTGCCAGTTGGAAAACATTGCTGCCACCAAGCTTGTCCGTGTGGGTCACCGTGACAGCCCCTTGGACTAACCCCAGTATCCCTGGAGGACCCCTGGTGACCCCCTCGTGCACCCTCAGGAACTGGGAGCCAGAGAGGCAGGGCTGGAGAGGAGCGTGACATCCAGACTAGAGAGCCGGAGCTTTGTTCTCGATGGAATAAAGAGCCACTGAAAACTGTTCAGCCTGGTGACGGAGGCGATGTGTGCACCCTCCTGGTCTTCAGAAGATAAGCTGTGGGGCAGTGGGGAGGCTGAAGATGGAGAATGAGCCCAGGGCTGAAGTGGGGAGGGGCTGGTGGCCCAACCTGAATCCAGATGCTGCTGAAGGCCCCTTTATTGCACAAGCAGTAGCCTTCATGATGTGCTTGGGGGAGATGATTTGGGGGTTTGGAGGCAGATCCCTGGAGAGGGCAGACTCAGCCTCCAAGGGTTCTGGCCCTTCGGTTCATGCAGCCCAGGGAGAGAAAGGGCTTCAGGGCCCCTCCTTGCCTGCGTCCCCAACTTCTCCATAAGCTCTTTAATAAACCAGGCTCTGGGCTCCCTGTGGGGCTGGCAGTCCATTCTGAGGTCTATTTTCCATGTACTTCCTGAGTTTGGGCTGCTGACTCGGCTCAGCTGACGCCACGCTAGGGAAGCAGACAATGACTCAGGAGGCCTTGGAGGCCCTGCCCCGGACCCTCAGGAGAAGGGAGGCATGGGGCGTGCAGGGGAAACTCTGATGGTGCCTGGCTGAACTGTTCTTTCCACCCCAGACCAGGGCAGGGGATGAGAAGGGGGTGGCTGGGAGAGGGCACATGTGATGTATGAGCCACGGGTGGAAAGAATGACCCTTCTGTCCAGTCGCGTGGACTAGCCTGGGACCAGGAAGAAGACCTGGGTTTGCCACCAGCTTTCCGTCTGCTGCCACGTCTCCAGCTGTTTTGGGCTCTGCTCTGACTGGGCTGCAGCCAGTGCTGTCTGCTGTGTTCTGAGCTTAGGAGAAGCCTTGTCCTCGCTTTAAAGATAGACGCCCCTCCCACATCAGCCTCCTACCCGCTTTTGCCTTTTCTGGCATTTTAAATATGGTTCTCTCTCCCTGCCCCCATCTCTCTCTCTCTCTCTCTCTCTCACACACATACAGGCACCCTGACCTTAGTGAGGCTGAAGAGAAGCCGAGGTGATGGGGAGCAGGGGGAGGTGCTCTGGTGTTGTCCAGGGAGCTTGTGCTGGGCCGGCGCTGTCAGGTCCCAGGAGTCGGGACCAGGGAGATAGGCCTCCCGAGCACCCTGGCCTCTGTGCGTCTGTTCCTACCCTCCCCTTGGCCTCTGCCCCAAGGAACTTGTGTCTGGAGGGGAGCCCGAAGGTCGAGAGTGGTGGTGCTGAGACCCTGAGGCTGCCAGAGGAGGCACAGGTGGGATGCGTCCTGCATGCAGCAGAGACGGTGGGGCCGAGCCTCTTGCCAACCCAGATGCCCACCTTTTCCTGCAGGTTCCGAGGCTTCATCCTGCTGATGACCTTCCTCATCTACACCACTTATCACATGTCCCGGAAGCCCATCAGTGTTGTCAAGGTGAGGCTGGCCTGGCAGTGAGGAATAATGCAGGAGATGCGGGCCCTGCAGAAATACCCTTCAGTAGGATGGTCTGGAGCTTGGCCCGTAGCCGCCGTATCCCCTGCCTTGGTCACCGAGCCTGCTCCTCCCCCTGGCCGACTCCCGCTTTCAGCAGCTCTTTTTTCCCAGGAGTTTCCCCAGCGGCTCCCTTTGGGTTATTCACCAAGACAGCGGTGCCAGGGGCTGTGGGTGCATCCAGAGAGCAAGCACCCTGCGCTCCGCGGGTTCTGCTCGTTGACTCCCCTTGCCCCCTCACCAAGGCTGCTGTGGCCACTTGTCCCTGGAGCCAGGGGAGGTGCCAGAGGAAGGAGCATAGAGTCCAGGAGGCTGGGCTGCAGGGCTGGTGTGGTTGGAAAGGTTGCTTGCTCCTTTCTGGGCTGAGTGGGCTGACGGGCCACAAGATGACCCTCGACCTGTGCATGTGCTGCCTCCCCAGAGCCGTCTGCACCAAAACTGCTCGGGGATAATCGAGCCCGTCAACAAGAGCCACAGTCTCAACGACACCACGTGGTGCAACTGGGCCCCGTTTGGTAAGAACAGGGCAAGTTGCTCTTCCCCAAACCCCCCTCCCCTCCCCAGGAAAGGGTTGTCTGGGGCCAGAGGGGCTTCTTGCAGGGGCATCCAAGCAGCCAGCTTTTTGTCTCTCCCATCGGCTTTCAGATCAGAGCAACTACAAGGAGTTACTGGGGGCCGTGGACAACGCCTTTCTCGTGGCCTATGCCATCGGCATGTTCATCAGGTGAGAGGGAGGCCGAGCCTGTGACCGTCCCAGAGCAGGATGGTTCGGATCTGCCATCTCCCCTTGACCAACCTGGGGGCAGCGGGGTCAAAGGGAAAAAGGTGATAGTTCCCCCAGGTGGAAATGAGACAAGACCCTTCCACACACAGCATCACTCATCGCCATCCGTGCTTCCATGGCCACCGAGCCTGCTCCTTCACCTGGCCAACTCTCACTTTTAGGAGCTTTATTTCCTGGAAATGCTTTCCTGGATCTCCTTTTGAGTTTATTCAGTCAGATGGCAGTGCTGTGGCTGGAATACGGTTTGTCCTGGGCCAGGGTCCTTGAAGAATAGCCCTGGATGCCAGAAAAATCCCAACATGGCTTTTACATAGCAACCATGGTTTGTTCCCAGGAACCAAAGATGACTAAGGCAGGGTACCACCTCCAAAGAGCTCACAGCCTAATGGAGTGACCGGTACCCCAGCAGCCAGTTATAAAACAGTGTGGTGTCTCTGTGACAGAGCTGGTGATGGGGCACCCTGGGGGCTCAGAGGGAGTCGCTTAGTCCGAGCTGGGATTGGAGAAGGGGGGCTCAGGAAAGCTTCTCGGAGGAGATGAAAGGAGTTGAGCTTGGCGATGGAGAATGGCTCGGCGGAAGGGATAGCATGGGTGAAGTAAGGCAGGTGTGAAGCAGCATGATCTGAGGGGTGGGGTGGGGTGGGGTGGGTTTACAGAGTGTAAAATTTGAAGGAAGTAGTGGCAGGAGATGGGGCTGAAGAATGAGGTCATTGTGGACCAGGCCGTGGGCACAGGAGAGCCACTGAAGGTATAAATTCAGATTACATTTCAGACAGATCACTGAGGGTGACAGAAGGTAGACTTGAAGGAGGCAAGACTGAATTTCAGGTCATACTAAGGAATGGATGTGATAGTAGCCCCGCTGAGCTTCGAGGAGCGCTTGAGTCAGAACAGTGGTACTAGAGAGGGAGCAGAAGAGACACGCTGGGGAAGTGAGAGGTGCAGTGGTGGGGCTTGGAGACTGGTGGGAGGGCGGGGGCAGGACACTGAGGGAGCTCTGTCGTTCCTGGTTTGAGTGGCCAGGCATGGTGGTGCCACCCAGTCCAGTGAGGGAAGCAGGACAAGGTGCTGAGTGGCAGTTTTGCGGGGCATCTAAGTCAAGACGTCCAGAAGTCATCTGAGTATGATCCTGAAGCTCTAGGGGAAAGTTCAGGCTGAAGATACGCAGCGGGGGCTGTTAAACATATAGGTGGTGGTTTAAACCATAAAAGGGATGCAAAAGAAAATGCATGAGAAGGAGTGGTCAGCCAAGGGGAGCGAGGGGGCAACAGTGACATCAGTGGGGCCCCGGAGAGAACATTCAAAGTCAGCAGCATCAGATAAAGCAAAGGACCTGGGAATGGAGGACTGGGGGTGTCGCTGGCACGTGGCAACACAGGGGTCATTGGTGGTCACCTTGGAAGCGTCGTTTCGGTGGCTTTGGGCAGGGGGAGGGGAGAAGTAGTAGGTAGAAAGTCAAGGGGTGCAGGTGGTGGAGATTAACCTCAAATCCAACTCTTCTGCAGTGGCATTTTTGGGGAGCGGCTCCCCCTCCGTTACTACCTTTCGGCCGGAATGCTGCTCAGTGGCCTTTTTACCTCACTCTTTGGCCTGGGGTATTTCTGGAACATCCACGTGCTCTGGTACTTCGTGCTCATCCAGGTACGAGCCTCCGTCTGGCACTCAGGCCTGGGCACAGAAAGCGTCCTTGAGGCTTCTGGTCCTCCCCAGCTGCCCCTGGCTCATGGCAGAGGTGGGCCCCGTGGGCTCCCTTCCCAGCCCAGTGCCCCTTTATTACACAAGCCGGGTCCCACTTCCCACATCCCAGGTCAGCCTTATTCGCTCAGTGAGTCTGCACTGAGCACTATCCTCAGGTCCCTTGAGATGCCCGTGAGGCCTGTTCTCTGCAGTGGGGAACTTGGGCCAGAGGAGAAGTCAGCGCATGGGTTAGGTGGTGTGTGCATGCACAGGAGGGAGGGAGGGTTGTAGCATGGGCGGTGGAGGGACCCCCTCCCAGATGCTGAGCCGCTCAGCCGGGCCTGCCCCGCCTCCCTCCTCCCTCCTTGCAGATCTGCAACGGCCTTGTCCAGACGACGGGCTGGCCCTCCGTGGTGACCTGTGTTGGCAACTGGTTCGGGAAGGGGAAGTGAGTGTGATGACGGAGGTGGGGTGGGCGGTGCCCGAGGGGGCCTGGGCCGGTGAGGGGGCCCATGTGGTCCCAGCATAATTTCAAAGTGAAAGATGAGAAACAGGCCTCCATCTTGCTGACTTTCATAGGCTAAGATACAGATGTTTTAGTTACTAAAACCAGTACTGATTTTCTCATTGGTAAGGTTTTAATCTTTCAAACCTGCAACCTTAGTTATGATTTTTCCTCGTAACAGATGAATTTCCATTTTGCATGAAGACAAAAACAAAGCCTATAAAACTGTATATACATGTATGTTTTTTCTTGAACTGGCTTCTGTGCAAAAAATGTTTCTTTGGGGCAGGGTTTCTCCATCTTGGTCCTGTTGACATTTGGGGATGGATAACTCTTTGTTCTGGAGGCCGTTCTACACGTTGTAGGATGTTTAGTGGCCTCCACGCTCTGGATGCCACTAGCACACCTGGGCTGGGACAATCAGAAATCTCTAGGCACTGCCAGTGTCCCCTGGGGGCAGAATCAACCCCCAGGCTTTGCTGCCACTCACTTGACACCAGAGAGCCCATCCCCTGCTCCCTGGCTGGCGTCCTGGGGCCTGGAGGCTGCAGGCAGTCAACTTCTTGCACTTGACCAGGACAGCTGGGATGAACCCTGTGCTCCTCTTCTTACTGTTCCCGCTCTTCTCTCCCTCCTTCCCTGCTCCTCCCGGCGCGCTCCCTCCAGGCGGGGGCTCATCATGGGCATCTGGAATTCCCACACGTCCGTGGGCAACATCCTGGGCTCCCTGGTCGCCGGCGTCTGGGTGGATGGGCAGTGGGGCCTGTCCTTCGTGGTGCCGGGCATCGTCATCGCCATCATGGGCCTTGTCACCTTCTTCTTCCTCGTTGAGTGTGAGTGGACCCTCCCCCCACCCTGGGGCCCAGAACCGAGGTCCTGGGAGAAGGCAGCTGGTGCAGAGGGGAGATTACTGATCAAGGAGTTGGAAGAACCGATGTGTGACTTGGGACAGGCGACCTCTCTGAGGCTCAGTTTTCTCACTTGTGAAATAAGAATATCAACGCCTACTTCCTTGGGCTGTTGAAAGTTTCAGCGAGAGTCTGTGGTCAGGATGGCAAACCTGGCTGATCTGAGCGTGAGGAGGGACAGGCAGACCCCACAGGATGCTCGCCATCTTTGCCGCTTCCTCCCGGCTCCCTGACAGCCTAGTAAGTCAGCTTGGCTGGGAGTGTGGTCACTTCGTAGCCAGAGAGCGGAAGTCCCTGGGGCAGTCGTGGCACAGGTCGTTGTGAGGACACCCAGGCCTGGAAGGTGGTCTCCTGAGCCCTGGTTCCAGGCTTCCTTGTGCTGAAAAGTCGCTACCTTGGAGGGTGGGGACTACACCCCATGCAAGGTGAGGGCCTGGCCTGCTGGGAAGCTGCTTAGAAGGTTTGTCTTTCAGACCCAGAAGACGTGGACTGCACTCCTCCTCAGCACCACGTGAGTGTGGCCCCCAGCCCTCCCAGTCCCCGGGGGGCTGGGCCCAGGGAAGCCTGGGGAGTTGGAGGAGGGGGCTGTGCACAGTCACTCCGCAGGCCGGAAGGCTGGCCCTTGTGTGGCTCCCGGACAGCCTGCCGGGCCTGGCAGGAGGATGGTCCAGTCCAGGAGGAGGACACGTGCCTCTTCCAGCTTGGGAGCCCCTGCCTCTCACGTGGGTTGTCCCTCCAGCTGGTGGGAGCTGGTATGTGGATGTGCCCACAGCAGGGCTCCTCTCTGCTCAGGGTGAGCCGGAAGAGAACCTGGACAACCCTGAGGACCCTGCGAACAGACCCCACGCTAACAAGGAGAGCAGCCTGGAGTCTGCTGGCAGTGGCTCCAAGGAGCCAAGCGCTGGGCCTGCTGCCATCAGCTTCTTTGGGGCGCTCCGGATCCCGGTGAGAAGTTTGTAGAGTGGAAGGAAGAGAGAGGCTTTCTAGATTCTTCTGCTGGATATCAAGAGATGATCTGCAGTTTCTGGGTTTCTTTCCATGTGATCCCTAGGGAGGGCGGCCCTTGGGAGGGGGATGTGGGAGGCCCGCGTTGACACAACATTGGAACCGCAGACACATTGCCATCACTGAGACAGGACGTGTGCTCAAGGCTGCTTTGTGTGGTGGGTGGTGGGAAGTGCAGGCGGGGCCCTCAGATGCCGGTGGGGCTGCACCGGCTCAAGGACGCCTTGCACCCCTCTCCATCACGTCCTCTGTTATGCTCCCCAGGGCGTGATCGAGTTCTCCTTGTGTCTGCTCTTTGCCAAGCTGGTCAGTTACACCTTCCTCTACTGGCTGCCCCTCTACATCTTCAATGTGGGTGAGTCACAGGGAGGAAGGGGTGGGGGGTCTCTGAGGGGGAAACCTGTCATGTGATGCTTATGACTCCAGGAACAGGCAGGATTTCTGCTGAACCTCTCAAGCAGAAGGAGATTTTTATTTTTCTTTAATGGGAAGCTAAGCCTCTTAGATGACCCCCTAGACCCCTGATTCCAGCCACCTTTCCTCCCTTGGCACTGAGCTGAGTTTAGGAACTCAAAGCTTAGTGCTGTAATCCTCCCTAACTTCTTCTCCAGCTTTAAGTGTAGGGGAAAGAAACCCACCCCCAGGCTGCTTGGCTCATAGGTGGGTGGGATGGGAGGGTGCTAGAAAGTCTGCCTTTTGAATGCCTCCAGGAGTCCCTTGAGCCTCCCCCAGCCCAAGGAAGAGGCCTGCTGAGCTCCCCCAATGCTTGTGGTCTGGCAGTAAACACTGTCGTCCTCTTCCAAGGGGCTCCCAGGAGCCTTGAGGACTTGATGCCTTGTGCCTAGGTCTGTTGGGCTGCCCATCTTGTGGACCTGCTCTCCTCTGCCTCTGCCCCTGCCCAAGGATGGACAGATGAGGAGAGGACACTTTTGTGGTTGAAAAAGGATGTGTATGCCCACCGGTCCCAGGTCTCTGGTTTTCCGCAGGTGGAGCTGCTCTGTCAAGGAGCAGTTCCACCCCCAGGGCCTCGGAGCTCCTCCAGGGCCAAGGACCTGTCACCCAGGGCTGCCCTGCTCATTCCAAGCCCTGTGGGAGGGACGGGGCTGTCTTGCCACACAGTATGCTTGCACAGAACAGGATGCCATGGGAATTAGTCAGGGCTGAATCTAAGCCAGGACTTGCCCCCAGCTCTCTCTGAGGGGCCTCCCTCACAGACAGGGCTAGAGCACCGGAGAAGCTCTGTGGACACTGACTCTTTGTTCTGTGACCTTGATGCTGACTTTAAAATATGAGTCAACCTTGAAGGCTGAGCTACGATTCAAGCTTCTGGACATCCTTTTCTCTAATCCTAGGGCAAGGGCTGGGACCTGAGGTCCCCTTTTCCCTGCGAGCCTTCCTGGCTGTTTTTATTAGCAGGGACCTCAAATGGAGGTGAAGCACTCCTGACGGGACCTGCCGCTAGGTCAGGGGCAGAGCAGGAATGTGCTGGATGAGCTGAGGCTCCGTGAGAGCAGTTGTGCCCTCCGTGGGACAGTGGTCTCCAGAGCCACATCCCAGTGCTTTCAGAAGAGGCTATTCCAGGAGGTCAGGGCCATCAGACAGGGGGAGAAGTCAGTACAGGACTGGGGGCCCATCCCAAACAGCGGCAGACTCACTTGGGATCTTGGCCAATCACTTTCCCATGGGCCGCACTCCTTCCTCTGATCTGGTGCTCTGGATCAGGTGCTCTGCGGGGACACTTCTGGCGGTGGCCCTCCAGGAGGTCTGCCCTGAGCCCCCAGGTCTGAACACATGTTCTTGTTTTCCACAGTTCACTTTAGTGCCAAGGAGGCTGGGGATCTGTCCACGCTCTTCGACGTTGGTGGCATCATAGGTGAGGCTGTGCCCTCCCTGCTCTGCCTCTAGGCTGCATTCCCCTCTCCTCTTGTGGGGGTGCAGAAAGAAGGGACAGGTCCAGTGGGATGTGACCTAAGCAGGTGGCATCAGAGTAAAAAGGGTTCCTGCCCAGCTGGGTGGCCCTAGGAAAGAAGGTCCTGGTGTGTGTGTGTGTGTGGTCTTCCCATGAGCCGTGGG